TCGTAGTCGTCGTCTTCGCCCCAATAGCAGTTTTAGCAGTGGTCGTAGCAGCAGTAGTAGTAGTAGTAGTAGTAGTAGTAGTAGTAGTAGTAGTAGTAGTAGTAGTAGTAGTAGTAGTAGTAGTAGTAACAGTAGTAGCAGCAGTAGCAGTAGTAGTAGTAGTAGTAGTAGTAGTAGTAGTAGGTGGTGGTAGTGATAGTGGTAGTAGTGGTATTTAATGGTAGTGGTAGTGGTAGTAGTGGTGGTAGTAGTGATAGTAGTGGTAGTAGTGGTAGTAGGTGGTCGTGGTAGTAGGAATATATAGCGAAAAAGTGAAATAGAAACACAGATAAAGCATATACATATAGGCACTACATCTTCTCGTATCAGAAAGATGTAATACTTGCTCGCATAAGGACCCGGCCAAGCTGCGAGCCGCGCTTGAGGGCTCGGAGGACTCAGAGAGACGTAGTAGAAGCCTCTTGCCTGTTTGATCTTAGCTTCCGGCCACCGTTTCTGATCCGTCTCGAAGCTCAGACTAAGTATTGGCTACATGTGTGCTCAGCCATCCATCAGCTGTTAGGATACTTTAACATCTAGCTAACCGGCTGGTGACCTCAGCAACACTTGGGACACCTGTGGGCGCTTCCTCAGCCTCGCAGTTGTTTTCCTCTTGTGGCCCGGAACTTCGAGCCTAGAGCCACCATGAGAGGACTGGGCTGTCGGCAAGACGTGGCAGCTGTCTGTCACAGCGAACTCGATGAGGCCCGAAAGAAGTTTTGGTGAAAGTTTCGGCTTCGTGGTCGCAAGATCTGACAGTCGGGTTGTAAATGTATAACGGTGCAGGACTCCAAGGCCGTGTAACAGCTCAACTGCACTCCAAAGTTTCTTTCTCGCCGACAGGAAGAAAAGCGTCACCTTCGCCTTTGCCGGTGGTGGCCATGGCTTCCTCTCTGTCACTGTGCCGGGAGGCCCCGAGAGCTACGAAGATGTGGAGATGTCTCCACGGTTTAGGGTTTAGGGTTTGGGGTTTAGGGCCCCAAAAACGTAGACATGTGTGTCGTCTCGCGCATCCGCCCATCCATTGCAGGCACTGTGCGGTAAATCCGCACCAAATGCGGGAAAATGAATCCATGCGTTCAGACATATGCATGTATGCATATGCATACATATGTATACGCATATGTGTATGCAGTTGCATGCATATCAATATCTATATGTATATATACTATATATATATATGCATATTTATGTAATTATATGACAAATGTATATGTGTGGTATGTGTGTATGTGCGTATGCATGCATGCATGCATGCATGCATGCATGCATGCATGCATGTATGTATGTATGTATGTATGTATGTATGTATGTATGTACGTGTGCCCGCATGTCTGTGTGTATTTGTGTATGTCGTGTATGCATGTATATGCAATCGCTTGTATATGTGTATATATATATATGTATATGTGTGTATGTGCGGTATATATGTATGTGTATGCATGTTTGTGTGGATGTATATGAGTACATGTATATGTAGATGTATATGCATGTGTATGTATATGTATATGTATATGTAGATGTACATGTCGATGTATGCGTATATGTAAATGTAATGTATATGAGTGCATTTGGACATGTACATGCCCGCGTGATTACGCATACATGCAACGATGTATGTACCTATATGTGTATACACATGTATATACTATATACACAGCCATGCATCTTTGCTTGTATGTGTGTACGTGTATGTATGTCCATATGTTTATGTCACTTTGGTATCTGTATCTACATGCACACAGGCAAACGCATGTGAAAGACGTTGACACGCATCTCCGGACACAATGTCTGTTAGTTTTGTTGTCATCGTTACCCTTGTCTCGACTAGTGCCATGATCACCAGTGTAAGGTGTTGTCAATGCCTCCTTGCATTCAGCAGTGTCATATACCATAGCAGCAATGATTGAGGCACAAAGGATGATGCGCCCCGCTCCCACCATCAATGCACGTTCTGGCCAGTGGAGCCGTTCATCCCATCATTGCCATAGGAACCACACATACTGTACCGCGATTCAGAATCATGATTCTGACCCTAAGCTGTGCGCTGGCCAGTTTTTGCGCAGCCTTACCGAGCCATGGGAGCAGGGGCCAGCGCCTATCTTGCCTCCGTAGATGACGCCACCTTGCAAAGCATCACTGAAGATGTTGACAAGGCAGCACAGCTGCTGAAGCTTGTAGCAGAAGGGAGGCGCAAACGCGAGCTTGGGCGGAGGCAGTTGAAGATCAATGGCCTCTGTGGCTCACAGTTCCAGCTCGAAGTCGACGAGGCTGCAACTGTTCTGGATGTTTCCCAGGAGATCGCAGGAATCGTTGGTATAGCGCCGGGGAGGATGCTTGTTTTAACCTCCGGCGGTACTGTCCTTGACGAGTCTAAACCTTTCCTGCAGCAGCTTCACGGAGATGAGATTACATACAAGGATCAGCAAGTGGGTGCAGGTCAAGCAGCAGTGAGTTTGCTGCGGTCTCTAGCGGAGTGGCCGCGACATCGGCTGTGTGCAGCAGACACGGCCGCCACCGATGCGATTTCTTCGTTGACCATTGGCAACGAGTTTGGCGTGAGCTTGGATGCAGCCATGCTACCACAGAACCTGCATAGACTGACCTTCGGAGACTTCTTCAACGAAAGCCTGAGGAACGTAGCCTTGCCAAGCAGTGTGCGGACGTTGACCTTTGGTAACAGATTTAATCAGAGCTTGGAAGGTGGGAGCTTATGAAGAAGAACAGCATCTGACCCCTATATGCCACGTAGAACCCAAACTCACAGAACCCTGATGTGCAGGTGTGACTTTGCCAATCAACCTGCAGACGTTAATCTTCGGCAACGATTTCGATCAAAGTTTGGAAGGCGGGCATGTTATGCAAGCTTTGCTGGTTGTTGTGGTAGTGTTTGATGTCATTGTTGTCTTCCTGTTGTCGCTGCTGATCTGTGTTGTATCCGTCGCGACACGGTCGTCGCTGCTGCGGGCAGCCGGCTGCGACGACGACGTCGACAACGACGACTGCAATTACGACGACGAGTCTTACTCGACGACGACGACCACTACGACTACCACTACCACTACCACTACCACTACCAGTACCACTACCACTACCAGTACCACTACCACTACCAGTACCACTACCACTACCAGTACCACTACCACTACCAGTACAGTACCAGAACCAGTATCAGTACCAGTACCAGTACCAGTACCACCACCACCACCACCACCACTACCACCACCACCAGCCCTGCGCCTGCCCCTGCCCCTGCCACTGCCACTACCACTACCACCACCACTACCAAAACCATTACTACGACCACTACCACTACTACCACGGCTGCTCCAACAACAACAACAACAATTACAACAACAGCAACAACAGCAACAACAGCAACTACTACCACTACTACAACTACCACCACTACTACTACTACTACTACTACTACTACCACTACTTACTGCTACAACTACAGCTGCAAATGCAAATGCAACTGCAACTGCAGCACCAGCGATGCCAGCAGCAATGACAACAATACAAAGACTACTAGAAACAGTACTTTAATTACACGAAATATTAAAAATAGCACTAGTAGTAGCAGTGCTTATGCTACACAGTTGAATTTCACAAACATGGTCGCACTGCTTGATGCATGAATTTCCATTACAATGTTGCTAATCGCCTTGTTGCTTTGCCGTGGCTGAGCTGGCTATGAATAATTCTTGTCTCTTGGGAAACATGCTCCTCTAAAAACCAAACCCTAGAACCCAAAAGCCAGGAAACCTAAACCCGATCCCAAACCCCCCCGCCCCCTAAACCGGGCCTGAGCAGAAGACATCGCTGCATCACCGGAGAAGGGCACATCGCGCATCGGCTCGCCTGAGCGGAGTATCCTAAAGCGGGCCAAGTTCATGTTCATGATTCTAGGGTTTTGACTCGCACACTGGCTTCTGGGGTTTAGGGTATAGCGTTCATGAATCATAGTCTTGAGAGTAAACCCAGTTACAACACCGTAAGACTGGTTTGATAGTCTATTTACTTGTTTAGGGGGTGGCTTTGGGAATGTATAGTGGGGACTTCGCAAGTGGGTTAGACCAGGTCTGCTAGCTGCAGCGTGCTTCTAACTCCAGGAAGCCTCCGAAACCCAGAAGGGCCTCCAAATACATGTAGAAGCATGAACAACTAGCAATCTTATTGCTGATGTGACCATAGCAGACTATTCCTGCCACCCGAACATCCATGCTGAAAAGGTCAAGGTCCCTATATTGTGCATTTCGAGGGATCTTATCAATTTGATTATCAGCGTGGTATGTTGTAGTTGATTACACCCTGCGATCTATTGGGTTTGGTGTTCATATCAGAGTTAATTACATTCTTGTTCCTGTGTTGTCACCCTCGACAAATCTTAGTACTTAATGCTGCCAATATTGCCTCTTGCTCTCCCCGCTCCTTCCAAAAAAATGTAAGTCAACCCTAAAAACCCCTAGACCCCAAATAACCTGCCTGTTCAGGTTCCTCATGATGATTTCTTTATATAAGCCCGCAAAAACTGTAGGTTATTTGGGGCTGACGAAAATTCGGGTACCTTATTTTGGGGTCCTTATAATAAGGATCCTATTATTTAGGGCACACTCTTACATGCCCCTCTTTTCGGAAACCCCCACTTGGGGCTGACGAATTGAAAACCCGGAACCCACCCAGCCCGCCAAGAGCCAACCTCGGGAAGGCGACCAAGCCTGCAAAGAGCTTTTCAGCAGCCCTACCTTAAGAACCCAAAACCCCACTTTTTTGTAGGTTCGTTTTATAAGCCCTCATATGGGATTTATAGGGACCCTACAAAAAAGTAGGTTTGGGGTTCTCAAGGTAAGCCCTGCTAAGCTGTTTTTTCCCACCCGCCCAGCTGACAAAGTCGCTACTAAGCTGTTTAGGGTTTAGGGTTTAGGGTTCAGTAACCAACTGGGAAAAACTATATACTTCTTTGGATTAGTTATAATATATTAGGAACCAATACCCCCAAAAAGTAAAAAGGATACTACTGAACATCCTAACCTGTAGTCGTTCGGAGTATCAAGGCCCCTCAAGGAATAGTGCCACTGTAACCCCTTTATGTGGAAGGAGTCCGATTGTGTAATGAATCCCTCCGAGGTACATCGAGGTTGTGACGCAGGGATCTTAAGAAGAAGGAATAGTATCGCTCACTATTCGCGCTTCTGTATCAGCTCTTGTGAAGGAAACGGTGGAGGATGTGTGGACCAAGGGTGTGAGGATGCAGCGTTGGACGTAATTTTTGACATGAGCAGATGAGCAGATGGATCTGAACCCTTGTGCCCATAAGCCGTAGGCTGCACCCTCAACCTTTTCGTAAGCCTTTCTAGAATCAAGATCAATGCTCCATTAAAGTTTAAACAAGCTCTACAAGCCCTACGTGTAAACCCTATAGGTTATAGAATCAAGATCCATGCTCGCACAAAATGAATCAAGATCCATGCTCCACAAAATGAATCAAGATCCATGCTCGCACAAAAATGTGTCCAAAGTGCAAAAAAGGCCCTGAGCATGTCAACGCCGAGCTGTGCCTGCGACTGCCAGCCGCTACCTTGACAAGGGCCCCCCGAGCTTGTGATGGCGTAAGACAGAGTCCTTTATGAGTAGAATCAGAACAGACAGTTATGGTTTTGAGTATTTTTATGGTGGTAATATGTCAGTTAAGGTAAGGAGCCCCAAGAAAGATTGCTAGCACCTATTCAGGCTTCTATGTTAGCATGCATCGGGCTCAGAGAGGCTTCAACTGTCGTGGAAAGCATATGAAAGCACCTCCTCCGGAACAACTCCCCCTCAAGACTCTGTGCGGCAGACTTGCGCCCTCGACCCCGTGCAAACAAACAAAGCCACCTCCCGTCAACACTGGCCACCTTCCCCATGTCAAGAGGAGAGAGTATGACCATATCTTATTTCATCTGCAAGCCGACGATTGATTAGACTTGTTCGTGAACTCACTTAAACTTAGACCCGATGTGTAAGCATGGCTTCCGCAGTCTGAAGAAATCCTCTATACCCTAAACCCTAAACCCCAAAACCCTAAACCGTGACTACAGGGGCCCTGGCTCCAGGACGAGCTCGATTTCCACCAACCAGAGCCTCAGCTCATCGTGTTGTCGTGCAGTTCCGTCCATGTGGGTGGTTGTCAAAATTATGGTCCCTTTTTGGGTCCTTACTATAATACGGCACCTATTATTTAGGGTACCCCAAAAGGGACCATAATTTTGACAACTACCCATGTGGGCTGCAGCTCTTTTTCGCCTGCCACTAGAATAAACACCCCGAAGTCGTATTCGCAGACGAGCAAAAAGTTAACCTTTACACCTATATGGCCGCTGTACTCTCCGACAATATTATAGCGCTTGCTGTACTTCTATTTTTTAACTCATAATAAACTTGCAACCTTTGCAGCAGGCTTGTTGGGTCTCGCCTGGACAAGCTGTTCATGTTCGCCAACCCTAAACCCTAAACCTGCACGTCCAAGCGAACCTTGAGGTCGCGGCTCCATTCGTCTTTCTTGAAATCCCAACAGATACCCCATTTGCCGTCCTCGTCGTCGTCACCGTTCGCCTTGCAACATTACCATTGAAGTAAGTGTCGCACGGCGTTTCTGAAAGTTCGAAGCTGGCAGACCATGCAAGCGCACTGATACTGCAGTTGCATAACAGTCTTCGGCAAATGGGAAAGGAAGCCCCCACCTAAAGCAGCAAGACTGTCAGTTTCAACCNNCCCCCCCCCCCCCCCCCCGCATGCTGCAGACGAGTAGCTGCCATTCCTGCCCGCCTCAGACGGATGCACTTAGTCACTCCGTCCCTTGAGGCATGGGGCTGAAATTGTCGCAAAGGGGCCAAACGGGTGAATCCAAGAACTTCCTGGTGACTGCAAGCTGCCAGGCACTTCGTTTTACTCGGCAGAATATTGAAACGACCCGCGAGCTGGATGTTCTGATTCTGATTGCTCGTGAGAGCCTCAATAGACATGTATGTGTATATATATAT